ACACAAATATAACGATTAATAATTTGTCTCAGTAGACCGAATTCTGGTGATGGAATTTATTCAATATGGCTCATTATTAAGTTATCTAAGTTCACATCGGTATAGCCTCGCATATAAAACACTGTTAGGCTTCGGTCTGGACATTGTTGCAGGCATGGAGTATCTCGGTAGTATCAACATTGTTCACAGAGATTTAGCAGCGAGAAATATCCTAGTAGCGAACGAAGACCGAGTGAAAATCAGCGACTTCTGTCTTGCGCAAGTGATAGCTGCGAGTGATTATTATGTATTTAAAACCATTCGTAATATTCCAATTAAATGGTAAATATTATAAAAAATATGTTCATCTCTTTTCTCAATATTTTAACAATAATAGAATAAAATAACGTTTTACATTTGAAAATATATATATATTACGAAATATAATATTTTATATTTTTTTCTCGCTCTAATTCTTCTATGATTGAATTATTTTTTTACGCATCAGAAAAATTTTTTTAGATATGCACCGGAGAGCTTGAGGCATAACAAATTTTCAACGCGTTCGGACGTGTGGTCATTCGGTGTGACAATGTACGAGGTTTTTAGTTGCGGCGTCGATCCACAACTGTCAGTGAGAGTGGCTGAGAAAGAAATTTTAATGAAGACCATAACGGACCTATTAAACGCGTTGGAACGTGGCCACCGTCTTCCTTGTCCAGATAACTGTCCACAGGAAATCCACAGAAAATTAATGTTATGATGCTGGCAATTGAATAGTCATGAAAGACCGATCTTTGCTACTCTACGCGAAGATATCGAGCAACTACTTTGTAATTATTAGAATACTTTGTGATTCTACGCAAATATTTTAAAAATGTGACGTATCCCACTCGTGATTCTAACATCAATGAGAGATTCTTTGAGAGAATCTATAATTATTTTATTTTTCATGGAAAGTTGGTTTCATTCCTTTGTAAGATCTCTATAGAGAATTATGTGTAGGTCAATTCTATTTTATATTTTTTTAGATGAATGAATTTTAGAGAAAAGTATTCTACAAAAATTTTAATTAGAAAAAAATAGGAAATCAAGGAATCTTGTCATTGAAAAATTAATAATCCTTCCGATTTTTAGATTTTGTATAGAAGAGATGTATCTAGTCGAAGATATTGTCGCCATTTTATTACATATTGCGTGAAATATAGCGCTTAAGTACAATATCATACATATATACAATAATAGTTTATTTGTCCCAAAACCAATTGCAATTCTGTCTCATATTTCTTTTATCCATAATTTTCAACTCTCCAATCAACTTCCTACATATAAATCAAGGCATATACAGGATGAGGGTTAGGATTAGGTCATTGACTACAAATTGATTGCACTCACATTGAATCACTAACACTGAACACCTCGTTTGAATTGAGCATTAATAATAATTACACTAATTATTATTAATAATTACACTAATTATTATTAATAATTACACTAATTATTATTAATAATTACACTAATTATTAATATATTAAATAATTGTTTATTCGTCTTATTTCAAAAATATAATAGGT